GTGAAATACACCCTCTACAAATTTGCTTTGTATTTGGAAGACAGAATCTTCAGCTCTGACCTTGTTCCTTGTAAATAAGGAACCTGAATTCCCCACCCACAAGAGAACAAATCACTTTATCTTCTGGATAAATGAGTCAGTCTTTTACTTGTCGTAAAGATGACTTTTTCTGTGCAAAGTCGGGCTGTGGAGTAGGTGTTCTAAATCACTTTGGAACATCTGCATAGTAAATGGAACAGTTTTTCTTTAGCTTTCCTTTGGAAGGGAGCCAGCTCTCTTACAGTCTGTTGGGTGGCAACAAAAATGTTTACACTACAGCCATCTTCCAGTAGCCAACTCTACTGTAAATCTCTTTAGCCAACAGCCAAACTAGAGGAACCTGGAGGAGCATACAGAACTGAATAAAAAATCCTAACAGTGAACAAAATTTTCCTTGTAACACACTGGGCTACCAAGGAAGGACATCTTACCCGGGGCCAAAGACACGTTTTCAGAGTAGAAGCCAAGGAAATACTTTGCTTGAGCACCACTTCTGGATTGTTGTCCTGGGTCACCCACTTACTGCTCAGATAACTCCTCCAAGTTCATATTCTTACTTCTGCTTTTCAGATGAAAAACTTGTAATCTGACAGATTAATGGATGTTTTCAAAATTCATACAACAATGAAGTGGCCAAGCCAAGATCTCAGCCACAGTCCATATGCCTCTGGCCTTAACACTCTCGGCTGGTGTCTCTTGGAGAGCTGCCTTTGTCAAAAGGATCTGGGAACCTCCCCCCAATTGCAAGATATCTTATTGGAGAATAGAAATTGATTGAAAGACCCATTCTCCCTAACATGGATTTTTTTTTTTTTTTTTGACAGACAGAGTTAGACAGTGAGAGAGAGAGAGGGAGAAAGGTCTTCCTTTTTCTGTTGGTTTACCCTCTCCCAAATGGCTGCTGCGACTGGCGCGCTGTGCCGATCTGAAGCCAGGAGCCACATGCTTCCTCCTGGTCTCCCATGTGGGTGCAGGGCCCAAGCATTTGGGCCATCCTCCACTGCACTCCCTGGCCACAGCAGAGAGCTGGCCTGGAAGAGGGGCAACCGGGACAGAATCCAGCGCCCCAACGGGGACTAGAACCCGGGGTGCTGGCGCTGCAGGTGGAGGATTAGCCTAGTGAGCCACAGTGTCAGCCTAACGTGTATCTTAAAAGGGAACAAGAAGGGGTATTTTAGCTATTTTCACAGAAACCTGCTTCCTCCAATCTAAGCCAGAGTCAGCTGTGGCCACTGGGGAGTAAACCAGCAGATCTCACCTTCTTTCTCTCTCCCTTGGTCTCTGTCACTCTACCTTTGAAATAAACAAATAAATAATAAAAACCTAAATGAAAGATCTCTGCGAGTGAGATCCCAGTGGAAAGAATGGGTCATCAAAGAAGGAGGTACCTTTCTCTGAAGGGAGGAGAGAACTTCCACTTTGACCATGGCCTTGTCTAAATATGATCAGAGTCAGTGAACTCAGGGGGCTTCCATAGCCCTGGCAGCCCATGACAAGAGCCTTGGGTGATTACTGATGCCATAAACAAGAGTGTCAATTTGTTAACAACAGGAGTCACTGTGCACTTACTCCTCATGTAGGATCTCTGTCCTTAGTGTGCTGTACATTGAGATTTAATGCTACAACTAGTACTCAAACAGTATTTTTCACTTTATGTTTCTGTGTGGGAGCAAACTGTTGAAATCTTTACTTAATGTATGCTAAACCGATCTTCTGTAAAAGAGAATTGAAAATGAATCTTGATGTGAATGGAAGGGGAGAGGGAGTGGGAAAGGGGAGGGTTGTGGGTGGGAGGGACGTTATGAGGGGGAAGCCATTGTAATCCATAAGCTGTACTTTGGAAATTTATATTCATTAAATAAAAGTTAAAAAAAAATAAATATTTTTTAAATTGTTAGGATACATAGAGATGGTATGGATTATGAATAAGAACAACAGGATTAGTTAAATAATTAACCAAAAAATAGATGAGTACAAATGTCCAAAATCAAAGTGAGACCCAGGGAAGAGTGTGCAGTGGCACCTGCCTTCAGTGGGTTCACAGACAGGAGCCGTACACGATTTCTGCCTCTAGCCTTAAGAAGCAGACAAAATGGACCTCTTCAGAGCTCGCCTTCTCTTGCAATCCTTTAGGCTTGGTTCTATTTCCTGAGTACTACATCAACAAAAAAAGCAACAGAAGCAACTACACCATAAATCTCAGTCTACGGAGCCAGACAGACCTCATCTGGACCAAGTCCACGACCACTGCCCTTTAAGGGACTTGGCTCGCCCAGTGGTCCTCTTCTATTTCTTGTGCACTCCTCAGGAAACACCTTCAGAAAACACCTGAATCTCCTTCTGCTCCTTCAGAAAACACCTGACTCTGACCACTAATAACCACCCTCACATGTCCACAGTGGGTCTCAGCCACCCTTGTCTCTTATTTGGATTACAGCAATCATTTTGATTACATGTAATATTTGCACACCCCTCACTGCATTTTTTCTCAAAAAGGCAATCAAAAGGGTGTTTTTATATTTTTTCCACTCAAAAAGATTCCAGTGACTTCTCTCATCCAGAGGTAAACATCGGCAAGATCCTCCCGGCCTACGGGGTCTGTGAGCCTCTCAGAAACAGACCTCCGTCACTCCTCCCACTGGTTCCCTGCACTGCAGCCCCTCCGGCTTCTTAGTTCATCCTCAAACTTGCCTAGCCCTCTCCTGCCTCAGGACCCTTGCAACTGCTTTTCCTTTAGCCTGGAGCATTCTCCCTGCACCCAAGCATTCACATTGATTGCTACTTCTTGATCTAGTCCACTTATATAAATACCACACACACATACACATCCCAAATGTGGTGTTCTCTTATTTTCTTTTTTTAAAATTTTTTAAGATTTATTTATTTAAAAGGCAGAATTACAAGAGGCAGAGACAGACAGAGAGAGAGAGAGAGAGAGAGACTTCCATCTGCTGGTTCACACCCCAAGTGGTCACAACAGCCAAAGCTAGACCGATCCAAAGCCAGGAACCTGGAGCTTCTTCCAGGTCTCCCACGTGGGTGTAGGGGCCCAGAGACTTGGGCCATCCTGTACTGCTTTCCCAGGCCACAGCAGAGAGCTGGATCGAAGTGGAGCAGCCAGGACTGCTGGGAGCGGCTTTACCCGCTATGCCACAGCACCGGCCCCCTCTTATTTTCTTCGTCCTACTTTATTTTCCTTCATTGTACCTAAGGCATCGGAGTATATTTATTTGCTAATTATTGTTTTTGTTTGTTTTCTGTTTCCTACCAGAAAGTATCTCCCATAAGCGTCTTTATTTGACCAACTGTTCTGTTTGCAGAAAGTAGAACAATGCCTGGAAGCTGCCAGGTGTTCAGCAGATATTTGTGAAGTAAGCGAATAAGTGAATTTGACCGCTTACTTCCTATGGTGCGGAAATACCTCAACATTAGTAGCTTTAGCTTACCCACTTCTTAAGTGAGGATCTGTCAGCGCATACCTCAGAGGCTGTTATAAAAATAAAATTATAAAAATACAATAAAGTTGTCTTTGTGGAGCCTATTTAGATTTTAACAAAGGACAGTTACTGTGACATTATTATTATTATTCTATTCTTCCTAATCACGATCATCTGGAATTTTCTATAAAAATTTTTAGAAAGTTCCAAGACATTTTGAACTTTACACATACACACACGCGCACATACACACACACACACGCACAAACACACAAAATTTAAGGGGAAAGTTATTTCATCGCCCATTAAATACTGAGAACCAAAGGAAAATTCCTCCCTGAGGTCACAGGCCGCTGAAGCCTTACTGTCTTTGTCTGAATGCGCTCCAAGGTGTCCCTGGGGAATCTGCTCTGAGCAGGTGCACCACCTGTCAGTTCTCAGTGGAACTTTCTTCTGACCCTCACTGCAGGTCCTCACGTGGGCCCTGACATTTTACCAAGGTCACGGGCAGAACCCAGTTGTGAATCAATGAAGTGTCTGTTGCTTCCTTTTCAGTGGTTAGCTGGTTTGTATCTCAAACTTCTCCATGCTTGCTAAATTTTTAGAATCGAGGGAAATGTAAAACACGGCATCATTTTACACGTTTCTTTTAAAATGAACCACATTTTGGCTTCCAAATGCATTCCTTTCATTAACTTAATGAAAAACTTCCTCTCTATCCCCTGCTCCCATAGCACCCTGTACTCCCCTACCACACCATTTACCACGGCTGACGCAAGTTATCCATTCCCATGTCTGTCTCTCCCACTAGATTCCAAGCTCCTTCAGGGTACCATGTCTTAGTCAGATCACTGTTGTTAGCATCTGGTCCCTGCCAGCCCACTGGAGGTTATCAATCAAAGTTCTTGAAAAGAGGCTGTGCAGAGTGGTCACCTAAGATAGGAATAGAGGCTGGAAGGGATTAGCTAAGGCTGAACCCCGGTGCAGGCACTGTGTGGGAGCCAGGGCAGTCACTTAACCTCTCTCCTTCCATCCTACCTTACCTTGTTGTAAGAATTAGGTGAGTTAATCACCAAATCCAGGGGGCTTGTAACTGGGTGCGCAATTCAATATACACAATAAATACAATTATTACTGCCGAACAAATGTTAGCTTTCAGTAAACTGGAAAATCGGGTAGCCCTTTCCTGGCTACAAGCTAATTCTGAAACAACCCGAATCATCTTTAGATCAGACATTCTTAGAAGACGGCAAATGTGTGTCTGTGTGTCTGTCGGACAGACTTAACCCAGCGTCCCAGGAAACCATTCCCTGTGCGTGGACAAGATGGTAAAATTTATTCAGCACTCTTGCTCTCATTCCTGGCTCCCGGGCCCTGACTTCATACAAACTTGTACAGAGGGAAGAGCTAGCTGGTGTTCGGTGTGGACGTGAAGGGCCAAATAGAAGACGCAAGGACTCAAGCCTCAAGCCAGCCCAGGTTAGACCTCGGGCAGGGCTAGCCTCGGCCTCCCTGCTGACTCACCTTGTGGAACTGCGGCGGGTAGATGCGCGCGGCCCCGTGGTTCAGCAGCAGCTGGTAGCAGATCTCGGGCTGGGCGGCCGGTCGCACCGACGTGACCTTCAGCACGTACTGGATGGCGGCGCAGCCGTTGATATCCATGAGGTTGGCTTCGGCGCCCGCTTCCAGCATCATGTGCATGAGTACGTGGTCGCAGTTCCAGGCCGCCTTGTGCAGCGGGGACTTAAAGTCGTCGTCCCGGGCGTTGACCTCGGCCTTGTGGTCGAGCAGCGTGCGGCAGATGAGGTGGTGCTCGCGGCTGTACTCCTGCTCCTTGAAGCGCAGGGACCAGTAGGCGGCGGTGGCCAGCGGCGTCTCCATGTGCGCGTTCACGCTGTCCACCACGGCGCCGTGCTCCACGTAGAAGGCCACGAGCTCCGAGAGCCCGAAGTGGGCAGCCGTGTGCAGAGGGGTTTCCTCGTCCTGGTTGTTGGTCTTCATGTTCACGTTGGCCCCTGTGTGTGTGTGTGGAGGGGGGATAAAAAGGTTTAGCATATTTCTCTGCCATTGCACCCAAAGTTCGTTGAACAAGATCGTTCTCATTGATTGTCTTTCAGCCTCTGCAAACGCGCATTAGTCGCCGCTGCCACCAGCACCAAGTTCCATCTCCGGACCCCCTGGAAATCACTCCTTGGAAACAACCAGCAACTGTAGCCGGAGCAAAGAACAAAGGGTTCCTCTAGAAGGCTGCCATTGCTGAACCTTAGTTCTTACTTGCGGACTTGGAAATACCCCTGACTTCTATAACAAAATAACTCTTATCAACAATATAGCCAATATGATTTAAAATAAAGTTTAGCGGCCTTGGAAGTTGATATAAGGGCTTTAACCATTATCAATCATTGTGACTGCTTTTCTCCTGCTGCAAAGCAGGGAAACCTAAAAGCTTGATGCAAACCTTAGTGTGGGGAAACTGCCCTGCACTTTGACTGAAGTTACAGTATTAGAGCCATCCACATCGATGAGGCTTCCTTCCAATACAACGGGAAACAAACACAGACAAACAGAGTTTACTCCCAAGCTAGCCTAAAGATCATATTTTATACTGAAAGAAGTATAAGCCAGTAAGTATAACAGAAATGTTAACTGAAAGAAAGAAAATGATTCAGAGACCATAACACATTTGATTTATGATTGACAAAGGATAATAGAAATATGAATTGTTTTGTGCTGGAAAGCTCCTTAGAAATTACCAAATTTAACCCACTTATTTAACACACCAGGAAACTGAAATACATTTTTTTTTCTTATAGAGAATGTTAAGTACTAGAACAGTCAGTTTGAAAACCTGAAATTTTCCTTTTCTGCCTAATTTAATGGGGTGAACTGAATGACCCCTGTGGGGACCAGCACTATAATCAGTTCCACTGGAAACTTTTATAGCTGCTTTAAGTATAAATCTGAAGAGACTTTTATTATTGTTATTATTATAATTGCAGAAAGTAATATTTATTAAGCACTTAACCACATGCAACACTCTGAGCTAAATGCTTTTAATATATTGCCTCATCGAATTTTCACAGCAATCTTTTGCAATAGGAGCAGTTTTTATCCTAATTTTACAGATGAAGAAATTCGTACTTGGGGAGGTTAATAATTTCCCCCGAAGCACACCCCACTAGCAATGAGAAGAACTCTGATCTGAGAGCAGACAGCTTGGCTTCCAAACCCCTTATCACCTCGTTGGTCCTTTTCTAGAGGGAAGCTTTTCTGTATTTGACTGTCTTTTAGATATGAAATCTAGAACACACCAGAGGAAGAACACTGCATTTTGTTCAGTCTCAAATGTGCCCTCAGCGTGTTGCTTGTTCACGCCTTGAGTGACGGCACGCTCTGACCCATTGGGGAACATCTGGGAAAGGCAGCGCTGGTGTAAGAAGCCAGCGTCCTGTGGGACACCCGGCAAGGTGTCTAAAATGCACTGCTGTTTTGGCTGGCGCCGCGGCTCACTAGGCTAATCCTCCGCCTAGCGACTCCGGCACACTGGGTTCTAGTCCCGGTCGGGGCGCCGGATTCTGTCCCGGTTGCCCCTCTTCCAGGCCAGCTCTCTGCTGTGGCCAGGGAGTGCAGTGGAGGATGGCCCAGGTGCTTGGACCCTGCACCCCATGGGAGACCAGGAAAAGCACCTGGCTCCTGGCTCCTGCCATCAGATCAGCGCGGTGCGCCAGCTGCAGCGCGCTGGCCACGGCGGCCATTGGAGGGTGAACCAACAGCAAAGGAAGACCTTTCTCTCTGTCTCTCTCTCTCACTGTCCATTCTGCCTGTCAAAAAATAAATAAATAAAAAAAATATATAAAATATAAAATGCACTGCTATTTAAACCCCGAGCCTTTCTGCACTGCAGAATCGCAGACAGCAGAATTAAAACCAAAGATCATCAGTCTTCTGCCCTGGGGAGCCCTGCTGAGGTCTCCTTCATGCCGGCTCTGCTCGGGGATGACACGGGGCAGGTAAGAGCATCTTCCCAGGGGCCACCTGTGAGGCAGCTCCAGCACTGCAGCGGGTCCAGCCAGGACAGAAGCAAAGCGTCTGAGTGAACCTTTGCAGGTCAACTGGGACAACCCTCCCCGTCGACTTTCCAATGGACTTGGAGGCTGACTTTCGCCCCTGCACCTCTCCTGCAAGTACACAGCCTGCAGAGTTCCTGCCTCGCAATAGCAGCTCCTTGTTTTTAGACTTGAAGCCTGTCTTCGAGAATGACTTTTCCAAGGAATCAACAAAATAGGAGAATGTGACTACTTTTTAGACTTTGTGATTTATTCAAGAAATTAGAGACCAGCAATATAAATTCTCAATAATTTAAAAATATTTTTGAGAGGTGGACGTGAGTTCTGGTTCTGATTCTGATCCAGTTTCCCACTAATGTGCACCCTGGGAGGCAGAAGTGATGGCTCAAGTACTTGGATCACTGCCACCCATATAGGAGGCCTGGACTGAGTTCCAGCATCTTGGCTTTGGCCTGACCCAATCCCAGCTATTGCAAGCATTTGGAGAGTGAACTAATGAATGGAAACTCGGGGGAGGGGGGTCTCTCTCTCTCTCTCTCTCTCTCCCTCTCTCTCTCTCTGTGTGTGTCTGCCTTTCAAATAAGTAAAATAATTTAAAAGCTTAAAAATATTTTAGTGTTGGGACTGGTGCTGTGGCATAGTGGGTAAAGCTGCCTTCTGCAGTGCCGTCATCCCATATGAGCACTGGTTCGAGTCCCAGCAGCTCCACTTACAATCCAACTCTCTGCTAGGGCCTGGGAAAGCAGTAGAAGATGTCCCAAGTTCTTGGGCCCCTGCACCCATGTGGGAGACCTGGAAGAAGCATCATCTCCTGGCTTCGGATCGGCGCAGCTCCAGCCATTGCAGCCACTTGGGGAGTGAACCAGCAGATGAAGACCTCTCTCTCCCTCTCTCTCTCTTTCTTTGCCTCTGTAACTCTGTCTTTCAAATAAATAAAATAAAATATTTAAAACATATTTCAGTGCTAAAATATAAAGTTTCCAAGAGCTACCACAATAAAGCATCACACACTGGGTCGGTTTAAACAACAGAACCCTACTCTTCCACAACTCTGGAGAAAAGCGGTCTGAAGTTAAGGTGTTAGCGAGCTTGGTTCCTTCAGCTGTTTTTGAGCATTCTCTAAAAGTTTTACTGATATTATCTCACTTATTATTAAACAGTAAGGATCTTGAGAAACATCTATTATTCAAAGGCTGGATCTCTCTTTTCCTATTCAGGGCATTTTCTGAGTGTCCTGGAAGTGTTTTCCCAGCCCGCTTCTTTGTCAAGGATGTGATGTGGCACAGTGTCAAGTTTGTTATTAACTGTCACCAAAGCATATTTTCAGTTGGCTGCTTTGTTCTAGTTTCAATTTTGCCCTTTCAGCCTGCAATCTAAGGCAAATATATTTTCTTCCATCTTCCACAGTCTTCTCTTAAATGAAATCTTGGGTGAAATAGCATTTCCCTTAAGTTCCCATTTCTCTAACACTCACATGTGCTAGGGTCTGGAGTTGAGAACTTCATTCAGATCAATAAGAACAATCACCTTTTTAAAAAAGATTTATTTATTTATTTGAAAGGCAGAGTTACAGTGAGAGAGGGAGAGAGATGGAGAGAGAGTAGGAGAGAGAGAGAGAGGTCTTCCATTAGTTGGGTTTACTCCCCAGATGGTCCCAGCAGCTGGGGCTGGGCCAGTCCCGAAATTAGGAGCCAAGAGCTTATTTCCAGGTTTCCCACATGGCTAGCAGGGGCCCAACCACTTGTGCCATTCTCTGCTGCTTTCCCAGGCCATTAGTAGGGAGCTGGATTGAAAGTGGGGTAGCTGGAATTCAGACTGGCACCCATGCGGGATGCCAGCATTTATGGTTTGTGTCACCCAGTAGATTACTCTTTATCCCTTCTTACCTATAATGTCACAAACTCCCATGACTCTCGCATTTTCACTGAACACATTTGCATGTGGCTTTGTGTTTCATTTACCTCTGTCCTGATGTCATCTTGCAAAGCTATCTCATATGTTCACACTCACGATTCCTAAACTTTCTGGGGCAGATTGTACCATCACTACCAACATTTTCACTGGACTGTCCCGCAGTGGGTTCCCGTCTCCACCCTGCTGGACCTGCCCAGCTGCATCTCTGTCTTACCTTTGACCTTTGACCAGGTCATTCGACTCTACCTTGATTGCCAGTATGTTCTAATTTTTCCCACGGCTTAAATGTAAGATCAAACACATTATACTCTTGTGATGACACTCAAATCCCAGTGGCTTAAAGCCACAAACACTTATTTCTCAGCCTCACCCACTCTAATGCTTTATGGCTCCAGGGGCAATCCAGAGCCAAAGTCCTGAGTTGAGCTCTCAGGAATCCACGCCGCCTCGGTCTTACTGCTTTACCACCTCCACCTGAATTTTCCCTCACTATCCCAATACATGGGGAGAAACAGACTTAAAACCTCACATTCCTCCTCACTGCCTGAGTCTAGCAGTGAGTCTTATTTCTTATGTTCACATGGCATTAGTAGAAGAGGCATAAGCCTGCTGAATGCAGTGAGACCAGCAAGTGTGGTCTCCTGTGAGCCTGCAGGGTAAAGACCTAAATATTGGTGAACATGAGTTATTTCCACCATAGCTGAGTTGAGTTGAGTTACTATGGGCTACAGTGACACAAGCAAATAAAACATGCTGACTGATTCAGTGTCTACCTTAGCTTCCTGCTAATATACTTTAGGGAGGCAGCAGGTGATGGCTAACATGCTGGGTCCCTGCCACCTACATGAGTTCATGTGTGAACTATCAGATGCTCTTTCTCTTTCTGTCCCATTGTCTTTAAGAAAAAAGTTTAAAATAAAAACAGGAAAAGTATTTGACCAGATATATCCACCAAAAAAATACAAATGGTCATTGATACACAAAAATTACTTAATATCCTTCCTTACCCACCATTAAAATACAAATCAAAGCCA